TGGAAGCGGTGCTTGCGGCAGGGGCATCTCGGTGAGGGGAGAGAGAGAAACCCCCTCCCAAGCCCTTCTGGCCCAATTTACTCCGATCTGGCCTCTCTGAGGCTTTTTTTCTCTCTCTCTCTTTAATAATTTGTTTTATAATTCCTGGAATCAAACCCATCTCAGACACACTGTTTTATTTTACTGTATTATTGGATTATACTTCCTATAAATCACTGGATGTTATTCATAGGCCACCACCAGAATAACTTCCCCTCTCCCCCCAGCCCCCTCCCTCAACAGCCCAGCATTCCAAACAAGCTCGCACCAAAGTGGGGGTGCAGCAGCACGGGGCACCCTAGAGACACTTCCCGGAAATCCCAGCAAATTTGCCTGGCTGCGGGTGTGAAGCGTCAGGCAGCAGCACCTGGATGCCTTCTGGCACTCTGGGCCCGTCCTGTTGTGCCGTGTGGAGGTTGTTAGGAGGTCGGGCTTAGGTGGAAGTGGAGAGGGGAGGGGAGGGGGCTGCCATATGTGCATCCTCAGCACATGTAGGGAATGAAGTTGCATCCCCCCGGGGCCAAGCAGAGTCGGGGAACAGGGAGGTTCTGGCTTTAGCTGAGGGTCGGGGAAGTGGCTTGTGTTTCAACCAGAGGAAAGTGAGGACGGGGGACCAGGCTGTAGGGCATCTGGAGCATGGTTGGGGTTTCTGTGTGAGATGGTAGGGTTGGCTGGGAAACCCTGGAGGCTCATGCAGAAAAGGAGGATTCACACCCCACTCCTTGCAGCAAATTCAGAGCAGTGCCTGTCCCTGTTGTGCTGCCACACCAGTGTCCCCAGAGTGGTGCAGAGCAGGGCAGTCCTGCACAAGCCACTGGGTGCAGAGGTTCCCTGCCTGGCACCCAGAGAGCTGCTCTTCCACAGTGAGTGTCTGCTAACTACAGCCTTTGCAAGGGTTTTTATACCATGCGTGGTCCTGCCTGCTCCTTGCAGACCTACACCAGGTTTAGATTAGGTATTAGGAAAAATCTCTTCACTGAAAGGATAATTAAACACTGTAACAGACTGCCTAAGGAGGTGGCTGA